ATGAACATATGTTTTTCAAAGGATAAAGTTTCAAACTTTCAATCAATTTTTTACCCAAAAAATCTACTCCGTATTTACTACTCCTATGTAAATGAGTTCATTTTTTTCCTCTAACAATTTTCCACAAGAAAAACCTACTAAGAAAACAACTGATTACCGACAGACGGGTCGATCCAAAACAAAGATGTGGCTTTAGATACATCACCATTCACCAGTAATTATCAACTTTACTCACAGAAATCTGATTACAGCTTGAATAAGACCTTTATTTGAGAGAGGGGTCGGATAGATCGGCAAGAAAGAGCAAGAATTTCGATTCCCCACAATAAAAACGTTTTCTTTTTTCGTTTCGAATAAGAATCACAGAATGAAACAGGAAGTTGGGGAAATTCCGTTATCGACTAAGAACCCAGGGAGCATTGGATTACTGGACCGACGTGCATGTATGGAGTGCATTCCTCTGCAACACAAATCATGATTGCCGCCATAGTTGTCGACTGAAACTTTCTACTATCAGTCAAATCAAATCTCTGTTGATTTTTTTTTTTATGATATCTCTGTTGATTGGATAAATAGTTTTCTTTTGAATCTTCAATTCAATCACCTATAATTCTATAAAGTATAAACCTGTTGTGAAATGAAAGGAGATGAAGAAGTTTAAAGATATAGATATATTATTGATAACCTCTAAATAACTTCTTCTTAATATAACAATTTCTCTGAGTTCTCTGAATTGCTTGAATTAAATTTACAAAGGATTGAATGCCCTATTTATACAAGCAAGACTTGGGATGGATCATCTAGGAATGATTCTACATAATTTGCTGGCAACATTAAACCTAGACATCTGTCTATTACAAGGACTGGAATTGGATTAGTGTCCTGATGACAAGGATGAAACATTCACACTTGTCATTCTCAGGAATTTATAACACTCCCCCTTGAATGTTCATCCTTGAATATGTATTTGTGAAAGTGAGTGTGAAAATTAAGGGGTAAAAATTACGACATATAATGTCGTTGTATTTGGATGTACTGTCTCGTTAAAAACCTTATCAGGAAAAACCCAGTGGGATAAAAACCTGATGAAGGGAAAAAGAGTGCAGTGCATTCAAATACTCCCCCTGAAATTAACATAAATTTTGAAGGCGGCGCATGCCGATTTTCTGTACAAGTTCAACGAACTTCTTCGGGGGTAAAGATTTGGTGAAGAGATCAGCTGGATTTTCACTGGATCTGATTTGCTGAACGTTGATCGTCCCTTCTTTCTCAAGGTCGTGAGTAGAGAAAAATTTTGGAGATATATGTTTCGTTCTATCTCCTTTGATGTAGCCTTCTTTAATTTGAACTATGCACGCAGTGTTGTCTTCGTAGATCACAGTAGGGTAAACAGTAATAGGCTTCATACCGCATTCATTCTGGATGTGTTGAATCATAGATCGCAGCCACACACATTCTCTTCCGGTTTCATATAGTGCAATTAACTCCGAATGATTTGATGATGTAGCTGTCAACGTCTGTTTCATAGATCTCCAAGAGATTGCGGTATTACCATAGGTAAATACGTACCCGGTTTGTGATTTTGCCTTTTGAGGATCTGATAAGTATCTGGCGTCTGCATACCCGATTAAAGAAGCTGTTGCATCTTTGTGGTAGAATAGGCCGAGATCAACTGTACCACGGAGATAACGGAATATGTGTTTGATCCCGTTCCAATGACGTCTTGTTGGGCATGAACTGTACCTAGCTAATAAATTTACAGAAAATGCAATATCTGGTCTAGTATTATTAGCTAAATACATTAAAGCTCCAATAGCACTCAGATATGGTACTTCAGGACCGAGTATTTCTTCGTCGTCTTCTCGGGGACGGAATGGATCATCGTGTATGTTGAGAGATCGAATGACCATTGGTGAAGTCAACGGATGAGCTTTGTCCATATAGAATCTCTTCAACACTTTCTCGGTGTAATTGGATTGGTGGATGAAAATTCCATTCTTCAAATGCTCAATTTGAAGTCCGAGACAAAATTTGGTTCTCCCGAGATCTTTCATTTCAAATTCTTTCATAAGATATTTTGCAGTATTTTCAATTTCATCGGGAGTTCCAATAATGTTTAAGTCATCAACATATATTGCAATTATGGCGAATTCCGAATTTGATCACCGAATGAAAACACATGGACTAATCGGATCATTCTTATATCCTTCTTTGAGAAGGTATTCACTGAGACGATTGTACCACATTCGTCCAGATTGTTTTAGTCCATACAATGACTTTTGTAATTTAATGGAAAACATTTATCGAGGTTTTGAGCTATAAGTTTCAGGCATTTTAAATCCACCGGGAACTTTCATATAAATGTCTGTATCGAGTGAACCGTATAAATATGCGGTCACTACATCCATTAGGCGCATTTGCAGCCTTTCAAAAACAGACATGCCAATGAGAAACCTTAATGTAGTTGAATCAACTACTGGAGAATAGGTTTCTTCATAATCGATTCCCGACATTTGAGAAAAACCTTGGGCAACAAGTCGGGCTTTATACCTAACAATTTCATTCTTTTCATTGCGTTTACGCACAAATACCCATTTAAAACCCACAGGTTTTACGCCTTTTGGCGTAGGGACTATCGGTCCAAAAACATCACGTTTTTCAAGTGATTTTAATTCAGCTTGAATAGCTTCATTCCATTTTGGCCAATCGTGTCGTTTCCGACATTCTTCTATTGATGTTGGCTCATTGTCATTGTTTTCATTCATAACATTTGTGGCAACAGCATAGACAAATATCTCATTAATATCAATATCTTTTCGATTCCATTGCATTCCAGTAGAAACGTAATTTATTGAAATTTCATAATTATCAACGTTTCTATCAGTATCTGGAATATCTTCCTCATTTAAGGAAGTTGAATCATTATTTGAGATGTTTGTTTTGTCAATATCATTTTCTATGCCAGTATTTTCAAATTGTTCATTTTCTTGTTCAGAAGGATGAACATTTTTGGCATCATAGATCAATTCCTGCCTTTTAGTCTTTCTTGGTTTTATGTCTTTTGATCCAAGTGGCCTGCCACGCTTTTTGCGTATAGAAGAATCATTTGCGAGAGATTTTTCAGAATTCTCCGCTGGAATTTCAATTCTGGCAGGGGCATTCATAGCAGGAATATGTGACTTTGTCACTTTCTTTGTGTCTGTGAATGCATCAGGCAACTGATTTGCAACATTTTGTAAATGGATTATCTTTTGCACCTCTTGTTCACATGTATTTGATCTAGAATCAAGGTGTGATAATCCTGTTGCATTCCATGTTATTTCTTTCGTACTTGGGTCCGATTTATTAGTTTCTCCCCCTAAGGTTGGGAATACTGTCTCATTGAAATGACAGTCAGCGAACCGTGCGGTGAATAAGTCACCGGTCATCGGTTCAAGATATTTTATTATTGAGGGAGATTCAAATCCAATATAAATTCCCAACCTTCTTTGAGGACCCATTTTTGTACGATGAGGTGGAGCAATCAGAACATAAACAGCATAACCAAATATTTTTATGTGTGCTAAGTTTGGCTCTTGTTCAGTAACTAATTGCATTGGGGAATATTCATGATATGCAGTCGGTCTAAGCCGAATTAAATTTGCTGCATGCAAAATAGCATGTCCCCAAGCTGATGAAGGTAAATTACACTTCATTAATAGTGGTCTAGCGATTAATTGTAATCGTTTAATCAAAGATTCAGCAAGACCATTTTGTGTATGGACATGAGCAACAGGGTGCTCCACATCAATCCCAATCGACATACAATAGTCGTTAAATGATTGAGAAGTAAATTCTCCTGCATTATCAAGTCGGATTCTCTTTATAGAATGATCCGGAAAATGAGCTCTTAACCGTATAATTTGAGCAAGGAGTTTAGCAAATGCTAAATTTCTAGTCGATAAAAGACTAACATGTGACCAACGTGTTGAAGCATCAATCAACACCATAAAATATCGAAATGGTCCACATGGAGGGGCAATCGGCCCACAAATATCTCCTTGAATCCTTTCTAAAAATGCAGGTGATTCAGTTGCAATTTTGGTCTTAGAAGGCCTGATGATCATTTTGCCAAGAGAACAGGCCTTACATGTGACACCGCACCCGAACGTCCTTGAAAACTCAATATAAAAAAAAAAAAAAAAAATAATTTCTATGTATTGAATTTTCGATTTCCAAACAATTGTAAAACAATTAATGTTTTACGTAGCGCATGATTGATTTTTGTATTGTTCAAACTCGTATGTTAGTGTCGGGTTTGCAAATACTTATTTGGGCCTTATTAATGAACATAAGAGCCCAACATTATCTAAATAATGTTACATAATCTTTCAAAACAATTTGAGGAAGGTCGGGCGGCCCAAACATTTTTTTGGGCCCAACCTGCTAAAAATAGCAAGTATTCAAGAATGGCATCGTAGGCCCACTCGGGAGTGACCCACACGGCTAGTAGTCCAATATATGAATGACAATGTCAAAATAAGTGATAGTATGATTAGAGAAGAATACAAATGCCTATGGTCCCATCTTCGACATTTTTGAGCTAAATAATGGGAGTATGATTTTCCTTCTATAATATTCAACATGTAAGTTATTGGGATGATCCTACACATGTTGGGAATCAATAATATGATTTATGAAGTTGACTTGGCCTACATAAATTATAAGGAGTACAAAAAGACATCTCATGACAAGGATAAAACAATAGGGTCCATCTTTTCATTTTGGAAGTATTGGTAGGTATTTTGGACCCCAAATTGAATGGGGTCATTTGGGAACCATCCCACATGACCTTGGTACCTGCAAGACAAAGAAAAATGGGTGAGACAACTATGTGGGGCGGACATTTGACTTGAGAGCTACAACATTACAAAAAAGAAATAAAAGAGGAGGTCCACACCATGTTTAATTGCAATCAAACACCCTACCCTTTCTTTTTGTGAACCACATGCTTAGATATCATTTTGAGAGCTCCTAAACACCTCCCCCTCACCCCCCATTCGAACTGAAAGGGATAAGAAAGAAGGGAGAGCCTCACACTCAAAAGAGAAAGAGATAAGGGAGCTGGCCGCAGGGTTAATCTCCAGTTCGTGGAGCTCACTGTTTGGTTCGTATCTTGAGAAATACTCATCCAAAAGGGGCGTGTGAGGTGTCCACTGAAAGCTCTCAAGAAGAGGAATCCATAGACATGCGGTTTGAAGGAAACGGAGCAGTTTAAGGCCTCCAAATCGTCCGAACAAAACGCAACCTTGCAGAATACGTTTTTGTATTCAAAGTTAGGGGACGAATTTGTCGGAAAACACCCGTTCTAGGGACTGTTTTCGTGTCTTCGGTTAGGAGTTGAGCAAGCACCTCGAGGAGGCTGTTTAACACTCATTTTTAAGCAAGGAATCAGTTCTCAAACTTCCTTGGCCGAGGCTTTGGTCATTGGATCAAGAAGGAATAGTTTAAAGCTCATTTGAGGTGAGGATCGACATCTAATTGCTTACAACTTGTAGGTTAAGCATGAGATTACCTAAATGCCTAAATCATAATTTTTCATGGATTATGATGATTAAATATTGATGAAATATTGATATGGTTCCCAAGGAATGAAATTGGAAATGATTTGAGGATGTATGTATAATATGAGATTAAATGAGTTATAAATGAACTATTTTGTGAAATAGGAATTTTACTCATGTATTAAACATGTGGATACATAAATGGATATTATGTATTGAAGTGGAATATTTAAGTTGATGCTACATACTTATAAATATGTAGAGAATTACAAAATGAAGATATTTGTATAATGGCAATAATCTTAATAGTATTGAAAATACTAGTTAGTGATTATTTGAAATTGTTGATAGAATTGATCCTAAGTATTGGATTGTATGGAATGAACTTGAATGTACTTCAAGTGGATAAAATGACTTAGTATGAAACTAAGGGCATGTTATGGGCGGTCATTGAGAATGACCCGAGGTAGATTATTGAGATGTCAATTCTAGGCATAGGGTTGCTTAGGAATTGGACTATAATGAAGAATTAGAGCCGGACTTGTGATTTGCATGGAAATGTAGTTGGTCCGAGACCTTGCCATGTAAATTGTGATTTGCATAGAAATGTAGTTGGTCCGAGACCTTGCTATGCAAATGTGATGGGATGTAATTGTGATTTGCATGGAAATGTAGTTGGTCCGAGACCTTGCCATGTAAATTGTGATTTGCATAGAAATGTAGTTGGTCTGAGACCTTGCTATGCAAATGTGATAGAATGTAAATTGTGATTTGCATAGAAATGTAGTTGGTCTGAGACCTTGCTATGCAAATGTGATAGAATGTAAATTGTGATTTGCATAGAAATGTAGTTGGTCTGAGACCTTGCTATGCAAATGTGATAGAATGTAAATTGTGATTTGCATAGAAATGTAGTTGGTCCGAGACCTTGCTATGCAAATGTGATAGGACGCAAATGTAATATAACGAACTTGACATAAAGGATTGCATAGAAATGTAGTTGGGCCGAGCCCTTGCTATGCAATGGTAATGTAATGAACTCTTGTATTGTCGTGGCTCATAGTCACGGGGAATGGAAATGGCGATTTCTAAATGAACATGGGCCCACGGGCCGACTACTTGACTTTTATATAAAGTAAGTATATTTTCAAACGAGGTAACTTGGGGTTACCACTATATTGTATTATCACCCTATTTGAGGGTCTTGTGTTTGAAATACTTGTTGTATATCTATTAGATGCCTGCCACACCAGCACTTTATAGCCGTATAGAGTGCTGACCCCTTCGGGGGCGTCCCACCACCATTTTTCAGGTTGAGGCTAGAGCTTGCTTCCTGTGCTCGTTGCTCGAGAGATCATCTGGGGGCGAAGACTTGGTTCGTGCTTCCTCCATTCGGATTTTAAACATTAATAAACATGCTCATGGATATTTTATTATAGAGCCTGCGTGCTCATGAATAGCCATGTGTGGCCCTTTTGTTTTAAACAATGTTTTCCGCTGCGTTATGAATTACTTATTATGTTTGTTTATGGATGACTTGTGTGTGAATGATATTCATGACGCCTTGTATAATATGAATGTGTTGGACTGCGGTTGACTATTCGTATTGTACGGCGGGTTGTCGACGTGTCCGGGGAGGTCCGGGGCGTGACAATTAAGTTGGTATCAGAGCCTTAGTCCATAAACTTCATAATGAAGTCTCAAAATTCTCTCTTGAAAAGATTTTGAAAACCATGAGCATAGAAGTTTTGTACTTGGAGAGCTTTTGGTACTTGGGTTGCAAGGTCTCTAATTGTTAAGATGGTACCCTTAGCAATTGGTATGGCGGTGACTCGAGCCAAAATGTGTCTTAAGTACCTATCCGTCAATTGACATTGATACGAGTCTAACGACTCTTTCCAAATTTCTTTCAGAAATGGACCGTGGTGGCAGGATTACTAGGAGAAACCTGACTGGCCGTGTACCAGTGGAGACTGGACAGGGCAGTCGAAGGACCTCTAGGGCATCTAGAGGAGCTGGCCGAGGAGGCCGATCACAGACCGTGAGCGACGGTCATGTGAGTACCGAGAACGAGAGCTACTGGTCCTATGAGGACTCGACCTATCGACCGGAAACAGAACCGGTTGAAACCCCTTATGAAGGGGATGATGATGATGATGATGTAAGTGATGAGGAGGAAAACGGCTCCTTAGCACGGATTGAGGCACTACTCCAACAATATCACCGTGAGCGTGAAGAGAGGAGGGAACGTCGAAGGCGCCGAGCCGGGCAACCTTCGGGCGGGGCTTCAAGGGAGAGGAGTCATGGCGACTCTAGGGCCCATATCGAACCACATGAGGGCCGAGGTGATGGAGGCCCGATCGTAAGGATCTCCAAATACCTCAAAGAGGCACGAGACTTGGGGTGCAAACCCTTCAACGGAGCGGGTGACATCTCGGTCGCCGCGGAATGGATCAAGAGGTTGAACGAAGCAGCCCTTGATATGCAACTCACCCCCGAGTTTAAGCTAAGGGTGGCGGTGAGGTTGCTTGAAGGGATGGCATCCACATGGTGGGACGGAGCCAAGGGAAAGTATGGCAACACGGTGACTTGGGAGAATTTCCGACAGGAATTCTTTGCCCAATATTATTCTGATTTTGAGGTGAACGCCAAGAGAAGAGAGTATACCCTCCTGACCCAAGGGGGCAAAATGACGGTGAGGCAACTTGAACACAAATTCAGGGAGCTCGCGGAGTTCATACCGGAGTATGTCTGTGACGAGAACCGGATGGTAAATCACTTCTGGGATGCCTTGGACTTAGAGGTGCGTGAGAGGGCAACACAGTTGCCTAACATGACCTTTAGCCAAGTGGTCGAGCAAGGGTTGAAAGGGGAGAAACAATGGGAGGAGAGGAAGAGGAGAGATGCCGAAGAGGCGAAAAAGAGAAAGGGGGAGAGTCATGGCCCTCAAGGTTCCAATAAAAAGGGAAACCATGGAGGAGGATCTTTCCGAACACCACCGCCCCCACCTAGGGGGAACCAAGGCCCGAATGGACAAGGATCACGGACCTCGGGGGTAGCTCGGTGCAATAATTGCAAAAGGAGCCACTTTGGTAAGTGTCGTGACCCTCCTAGATGCTTCCAATGTGGGGATGCCGGGCATTTGAAGATGAATTGCCCACAATTGGGTGGGGCAAGGTCATCGGGACCAAGTAGCGGGGCTACGGGAAGTAGAAACCAAGCCGGGGGTCCCCAAGTAACCAGGGGGCAAGGGGGAGCAAGCGCGAGTAACGCGCCGTCCGTGAATCAAGGAAGGACGCAAGCTAGAGTCTACGCAATGACCGAGGCTGATGCTCGGGCTAATCCCGACTCCGTCGCAGGTAATACACTTGTTCGGGTCATTTCTAGGCTTATTTTGATCATATACGTCGTTGGGATTAAGTACGGGCCACCCCGGGGTCAAACTGGGTGAGTTAGGCCGAATCGGGCTGGAAACAGCCACTGCTGGCCAGGCACGCCCGAAGGCACGCCGTGCCTGGAATCGTGCCTGGAAGGCAGTGGCACCCGAAGAGAAGAAAAAAAAAAAAAAAAAAAAATTGGGCCAGGCACGGCCTCAGGCACGCCGTGCCTGGCGTCGTGCCTGGGAGGCAGTAGCGCCCAGGGCTTTTTCCCAAGCCAGGCACGACCGTGCCTACCCCAGGCACGCCGTGCCTGGCACCCAGAATGCCGAAACCCGATTTTTTCGCACCGTTTTGCGACATTAAGACTTTTTCTTGATCCCTAACACATGTGTGAACATAATAAACCTCTCTAAATGTGTAAGAATGGTAGGAAAGGTATCTTACATGACTTATAAATGTAGGAACACTAAAGATTAATGGGAAGGATGCGCGAATCCTTATCGATACCGGGGCGCAACGTTCATTTGTGAATGAAGCGTTCGCCAAGAGGTTGGGAGTGCAATCCGCACCATTGATGCAAACCTTAGTGGTGTCAACACCACTAGGGGATGACGTGGAAAGAACTTGCCACTATCCATCGTGTGAGGTGGAAGTGGAGGGCCAAAACTTGTCGTGTGATTTCGTGCCGCTGAGCATGATTGAGTTCGATGCAATCCTGGGTATGGATTGGTTTGAGAAGCATCATGCTAGGGTCGATTGTTACACGAAAGTACTTGAACTCGAAGTCAATGAAGGGGTAACCTTACGCTTCGAGGGGGATAGGGCAAAATCCAATAGTTGCGTCATATCCGCTGTGAGGGCTAAGAACATGATGAGGAAGGGGTGTCATGCATATCTAGCATATGTAGTGGACAAAACCAAAGAAGAGACGAGTATTGATGATGTGAGGGTAGTATGCGAGTATCCGGACGTCTTTCCTAAAGACTTACCGGGACTTCCACCCGATAGGGAGATTGAGTTCGTGATTGAGGTCGAGCCCGGCACCAAACCAATCTCCATACCGCCATACCGTATGGCACCCGCTGAACTTAACGAGTTAAAAACCCAATTGCAAGAGCTTTTGGATAACGGTTTCATCAGACCAAGCCACTCCCCATGGGGAGCACCGGTCCTTTTTGTGAAAAAGAAGGATGGAACACTTCGAATGTGCATTGACTGTCGTCAACTGAACAAGGTCACAATCAAGAATAGGTATCCCTTGCCTAGGATTGATGACTTGTTTGATCAACTACAAGGAGCAACCGTGTTTTCAAAGATTGACTTGAGGTCGGGGTACCATCAATTGAAGATTAAGGAGGATGACATACCGAAGAGTGCTTTCCGCACGAGATATGGGCATTTTGAGTTCCTTGTTATGTCGTTTGGGTTAACAAACGCCCCGGCGGCATTCATGGACTTAATGAACCGAGTATTTCACAAATACTTGGACCGATTCGTGATTGTGTTCATTGATGACATCTTGATCTACTCAAAGAGTGAGGAAGAGCATGAGGAGCACTTGATACTTGTTCTTGAGACACTACGGGAGAAGCAACTCTATGCCAAATTTTCTAAATGTGAATTTTGGCTTAAGGAGATTGGCTTTCTCGGGCACGTGGTTTCAGGATCGGGAATTGCAGTTGATAACAAGAAGATAGAAGCCATTACCGAATGGGAGAGGCCAAAGAACGTCAAGGAAATTCGTAGTTTCCTTGGATTGGCAGGCTACTACAGAAAGTTTGTGGAGAAGTCCTCTGTTCTGGCATCATCATTGACGAAGCTCACTCGTAAAGGAGCTAAGTTCGTGTGGGAGGACAAATGTGAGAAGGGGTTCTTAGAAATGAAGAAGAGGTTAACCGAGGCACCGGTACTTGCACTACCCAAACAGGGTATGGGGCACGATGTCTATAGTGATGCGAGCATCCAAGGGGTTGGATGTGTGTTGATGCAGATGGGAGGGGTAATTGCCTATGCTTCACGACAGTTGAAGAGGCATGAGGTAAACTACCCTACTCATGATTTAGAGCTGGGAGCAGTGGTGTTTGCATTGAAGATATGGGGACACTATCTCTACGGGGAGACGTGTCACATATACACTGATAATAAGAGCTTGAAGTGTGTATTTACTCATAAAGAGTTAAACATGAGACAGAGACGGTGGATGGAGTTGATAAAGGACTACCATCAAGTTATTAAGTACCATCCAGGTAAGGAAAACGTTGTAGCAAATGCCCTCAGTCAGAAGAGTTCGTCTGGGGCATTGCTGACTAGTTTGAGGGCATTGAGAGCCCAATTGGATGTACATCCGCCTGTAGAGGAACGTGAGGATGTGAACTACGTTGTGCAACCGATTAAGGTCATTGATAGAAAGGTGAAGAAACTGCGGAGTAAAGAAGTCCCAATGGTTAAAGTCCTTTGGAAGAGCGATCGTGTCAAAGAAGGGACATGGGAAATAGAGGCTTTGATGAGGGAGTAGTATGCTTCCCTATTTGAGTAGAGTTGCGAATTTCGGGGACGAAATTCCTGTTAAGGGGGGTGAACTTGTGACACCGCACCCGAACGTCCTTGAAAACTCAATATAAAAAAAAAAAAAAAAAAATAATTTCTATGTATTGAATTTTCGATTTCCAAACAATTGTAAAACAATTAATGTTTTACGTAGCGCATGATTGATTTTTGTATTGTTCAAACTCGTATGTTAGTGTCGGGTTTGCAAATACTTATTTGGGCCTTATTAATGAACATAAGAGCCCAACATTATCTAAATAATGTTACATAATCTTTCAAAACAATTTGAGGAAGGTCGGGCGGCCCAAACATTTTTTTGGGCCCAACCTGCTAAAAATAGCAAGTATTCAAGAATGGCATCGTAGGCCCACTCGGGAGTGACCCACACGGCTAGTAGTCCAATATATGAATGACAATGTCAAAATAAGTGATAGTATGATTAGAGAAGAATACAAATGCCTATGGTCCCATCTTCGACATTTTTGAGCTAAATAATGGGAGTATGATTTTCCTTCTATAATATTCAACATGTAAGTTATTGGGATGATCCTACACATGTTGGGAATCAATAATATGATTTATGAAGTTGACTTGGCCTACATAAATTATAAGGAGTACAAAAAGACATCTCATGACAAGGATAAAACAATAGGGTCCATCTTTTCATTTTGGAAGTATTGGTAGGTATTTTGGACCCCAAATTGAATGGGGTCATTTGGGAACCATCCCACATGACCTTGGTACCTGCAAGACAAAGAAAAATGGGTGAGACAACTATGTGGGGCGGACATTTGACTTGAGAGCTACAACATTACAAAAAAGAAATAAAAGAGGAGGTCCACACCATGTTTAATTGCAATCAAACACCCTACCCTTTCTTTTTGTGAACCACATGCTTAGATATCATTTTGAGAGCTCCTAAACACCTCCCCCTCACCCCCCATTCGAACTGAAAGGGATAAGAAAGAAGGGAGAGCCTCACACTCAAAAGAGAAAGAGATAAGGGAGCTGGCCGCAGGGTTAATCTCCAGTTCGTGGAGCTCACTGTTTGGTTCGTATCTTGAGAAATACTCATCCAAAAGGGGCGTGTGAGGTGTCCACTGAAAGCTCTCAAGAAGAGGAATCCATAGACATGCGGTTTGAAGGAAACGGAGCAGTTTAAGGCCTCCAAATCGTCCGAACAAAACGCAACCTTGCAGAATACGTTTTTGTATTCAAAGTTAGGGGACGAATTTGTCGGAAAACACCCGTTCTAGGGACTGTTTTCGTGTCTTCGGTTAGGAGTTGAGCAAGCACCTCGAGGAGGCTGTTTAACACTCATTTTTAAGCAAGGAATCAGTTCTCAAACTTCCTTGGCCGAGGCTTTGGTCATTGGATCAAGAAGGAATAGTTTAAAGCTCATTTGAGGTGAGGATCGACATCTAATTGCTTACAACTTGTAGGTTAAGCATGAGATTACCTAAATGCCTAAATCATAATTTTTCATGGATTATGATGATTAAATATTGATGAAATATTGATATGGTTCCCAAGGAATGAAATTGGAAATGATTTGAGGATGTATGTATAATATGAGATTAAATGAGTTATAAATGAACTATTTTGTGAAATAGGAATTTTACTCATGTATTAAACATGTGGATACATAAATGGATATTATGTATTGAAGTGGAATATTTAAGTTGATGCTACATACTTATAAATATGTAGAGAATTACAAAATGAAGATATTTGTATAATGGCAATAATCTTAATAGTATTGAAAATACTAGTTAGTGATTATTTGAAATTGTTGATAGAATTGATCCTAAGTATTGGATTGTATGGAATGAACTTGAATGTACTTCAAGTGGATAAAATGACTTAGTATGAAACTAAGGGCATGTTATGGGCGGTCATTGAGAATGACCCGAGGTAGATTATTGAGATGTCAATTCTAGGCATAGGGTTGCTTAGGAATTGGACTATAATGAAGAATTAGAGCCGGACTTGTGATTTGCATGGAAATGTAGTTGGTCCGAGACCTTGCCATGTAAATTGTGATTTGCATAGAAATGTAGTTGGTCCGAGACCTTGCTATGCAAATGTGATGGGATGTAATTGTGATTTGCATGGAAATGTAGTTGGTCCGAGACCTTGCCATGTAAATTGTGATTTGCATAGAAATGTAGTTGGTCTGAGACCTTGCTATGCAAATGTGATAGAATGTAAATTGTGATTTGCATAGAAATGTAGTTGGTCTGAGACCTTGCTATGCAAATGTGATAGAATGTAAATTGTGATTTGCATAGAAATGTAGTTGGTCTGAGACCTTGCTATGCAAATGTGATAGAATGTAAATTGTGATTTGCATAGAAATGTAGTTGGTCCGAGACCTTGCTATGCAAATGTGATAGGACGCAAATGTAATATAACGAACTTGACATAAAGGATTGCATAGAAATGTAGTTGGGCCGAGCCCTTGCTATGCAATGGTAATGTAATGAACTCTTGTATTGTCGTGGCTCATAGTCACGGGGAATGGAAATGGCGATTTCTAAATGAACATGGGCCCACGGGCCGACTACTTGACTTTTATATAAAGTAAGTATATTTTCAAACGAGGTAACTTGGGGTTACCACTATATTGTATTATCACCCTATTTGAGGGTCTTGTGTTTGAAATACTTGTTGTATATCTATTAGATGCCTGCCACACCAGCACTTTATAGCCGTATAGAGTGCTGACCCCTTCGGGGGCGTCCCACCACCATTTTTCAGGTTGAGGCTAGAGCTTGCTTCCTGTGCTCGTTGCTCGAGAGATCATCTGGGGGCGAAGACTTGGTTCGTGCTTCCTCCATTCGGATTTTAAACATTAATAAACATGCTCATGGATATTTTATTATAGAGCCTGCGTGCTCATGAATAGCCATGTGTGGCCCTTTTGTTTTAAACAATGTTTTCCGCTGCGTTATGAATTACTTATTATGTTTGTTTATGGATGACTTGTGTGTGAATGATATTCATGACGCCTTGTATAATATGAATGTGTTGGACTGCGGTTGACTATTCGTATTGTACGGCGGGTTGTCGACGTGTCCGGGGAGGTCCGGGGCGTGACATTACAAGGAAAATCACTTGATAATGGAACCCTGATATTCTTTAATGGGTGTCCAAGTGAAGTCTTAATGATTTTATGCATCATTACTTGGCCTGGGTGACCTAAACGGTCATGCCACAACATGAATGTTTTCTGATCATCTAACTTTGTGTTAGAAACCAAATTTATTTCGAATGGACTAATATGAGTGAAATATAGTCCTGAGGAATATGCTGGCATTTTTTCACAAATACATTTAGTGCCAGATTTAGTTGTCGTTAGACAAAGATATTCCTTTTGATTTTCATTCATGGTTTCTATGTGATAACCATTTTGACGCATATCTTTAAAGCTTAATAAATTTCTCCGCGATTTGCTGGAGTATAAAGCGTCATTTATAAGTAATTTTGTCTCATTAGGGAGCATCACATATGCTTTCCCAGAGCCTTCAATGAGCTTCGCAACACCTGATATTGTATTGACTTTAGCTTCAACTAAAGTCATTTGAGAAAAATATATTTTATTCCTTAAAATGGTGTGTGTTGTGGCGCTGTCTATCAGACATAGCTCTTTATCACTTGAGTGATCCATATCTTCAATATATAAATAAACATAAGTTTGATATGCAAGTAACAAAAATTATGCATCATATATAACATTAAAGTACATATATTACACAATTTATTTATGATAACAACGTAAAAGAAAAAGTACATAATACATGAAAACATAAACTACTATTTTACAACATTCAAAAGTCTTATAATTTATTTTGTGTTATTTTGATCATTGGCAAAAGCATCGTCCATTATGCTATCATCCATGAAGAAGTCGGACACATCGAATTTTGGCAGAGATGGAGTTGTGTCATTGACATAATTCGCTTCCACGTTTTTGCCTTTGTTTAAATTCATGGAAGCTTGAAATAACTCCACAAGATGCTTTGCAGTACGGCATTTGTTAGCCCAGTGTCCCGTCATGCCACATTTGTAACAAGTCGTCTTCACCGAGGGTTTTGTAGGGCGATTTGTTTGATGGGCTTTTTGTTTGCCCTTGCCCTTGTAATTTGGTCTTTCGACCCGTTTATATCCTCGGTGGGACTTGTTATTATGACCATTAAAATGCCCACGTTTAAAATGCCTTCTACTGCCACTGTGTGTTGCATTTGTTTCAGTGGCTAAATTATGGCCAGATGGACCATAAACTGAAGGACTAGAACCAATGGGTCTCAGATTATGATTTTTCATCAAAAGGTCATTATTTTGCTCAGCGACCAATAAAACTGATATAAGGTCAGAGTATTTCTTAAAACCCTTTTCTCTGTATTGCTGCTGTAGCAGCATATTAGAAATATGCATTGTAGAAAAGGTTTTCTCCAACATATCAGCATCAGTGACTTTTTGCCCACATAACTTTAGTTTGGATGTTATTTGGAACATAACAGAATTATAGTCACTGGTAGATTTAAAGTCCTGAAATCTTAGATTGATCCAGTCATATTGAGCTTTAGGCAAAAGGACCTTTTGCTGGTGGCCATACCTCTCCTGTAAATTGTCCCATAATTCTTTTGGGTCATCAACCAAAAGATATTCAGATTTGAGACTTTCATGGAGATGGTGACGGAGAAAAATAATAGCTTTCGCTTTGTCTTGGGCAGATGACGGCTTATTTGCCTCAATAGTGTCTTCAAGACCATTAGCCTTCACATGTGCTAAAGCATCAACTTTCCATTCCAGGTATTTTTGTCCAGACAGATCAAGAACATCGAATTCTCTTTTGCTTATATTTGCCATAGTACTACAAATTATTGGTTTTAAAATTAATTAGTAAAATTGTAAATAAGAACAGTATTTGTTCCGTAAAAGCTAATAAATGTATTAATTCATATCGATTAAATTGAATCATGTTTTAATTTAGAAATTGGAGTAATACGGAGTAACTTTTATTCTATTTGTTTAAATATAGATGAATCTGTAAGACAAAGGCATTTGTAATCATATACTCCATACTATCATGATACGTATTATTAGTCTTCGAAGTATTAACCTTTTAATCAACTTTATGCATTCATTTGGATCAAAATAACTAGGTGTTAATCCAAAGTTAGTTAATTACATATACATAATTCTTTACTGGTTCGTATCATTTAAGAGTAACAAAGATACAAGCTTAAGTTTATGTGCACTGTATTGATACTAAACCATTAATTTACACAGTATATACCAACGTTCGCATAGACCATGATAAGTTGTGGTCATTTACTAATCTATCATTATTTTAACAAAAACGGTCTTTGGTGCTAAGTGCTAACATACAAAACACCGAACGATTTTTATTTTCCAAAAATTTAAGTGGAAAGCATGATAATGATAAGGATAAAATAAACTGATAGAGTGTGAATAATTTTGTCTGGTATGTACTACGTATCAAAGACCCGTGAACTCTCCAGCTAGCCTAATCTAGTTGCTACGTTTCTCTCGTGACTACTGTTGTCAACTTGTCATTAATTTTCCTTGTTTGTTTTATGCATGCCATCTGACTCATACTTCATATACGTAGTATTAATATACAAGTGTGCTACCACGTATTTTATTTGCCCATACAATTTTGAATGTTCTAGGCCCATACAATCTACTTGAGGTTATAATTTATTTATCCACTATCTCTCACCGTTTCATCTCATTTATATACTCTGTATGTCTAAAAGAATAGACTTCTAGTTTGTTTCTAATCCATTCATTGTCTACGTCATTTCTTCCATACTCCGTACTTGCTAAAAATTTATAGGAACCAGTATTGTGTTTCTAAAACTCTCCTCATATCATATCATTTTCTCCTTCTCCTTTATTAGTTATCCACTGTATTCTTCAAAGAATAACTAATAAGTGATGTACTCATGATTATGGTGCTTTTATTTTATCAGAAGAAATCAATCATGCAAAGGTATGTTATCTGTGTACATTTTCTATTCGAATATGATAGAAGATTTTATTTGAAACTCAGAATAATTTTCTGATTTGAATATTAAAAGAAGATAACATATATTGATATTAATACCTGCAGGAGATGATGATTTCTTGAAGATTTTTTAGCAGATTCGTGCTGATAACGTGTTGTGAAATGAAGGAGATGAAGAAGTTTAAAGAGATAGATATATTATTGATAACCTCTAAATAACTTCTTCTTAATATAACAATTTCTCTGAGTTCTCTGAATTGCTTGAATTAAATTTACAAAGGATTGAATGCCCTATTTATACTAGGCAGACTTGGGATGAATCATCTAGGAATGATTCTACATAATTTGCTGGCAACATTAAACCTAAACATCTGTCTATTACAAGCAGTGGCGGACCCAGAGATTTGTCAGAGCAGGAGTACACTAGACACTAAACTTACTCTATAATAAAAATTTCAAATGTAATAAAGATGGTAAAAAGTAAGACAATAGCATAAATTATACGGAGTAGTTAACTACATATGGAGTATTAAATAGTTCATTTCTGCAACTTTGGTAAATCAAACCTACGAGTTTTCATATTCTGAAAATGTTTTATATTAGTTTCATTATCAATACTCCTAAAAACATCTCTCTCGATGTAGCACACCAAGCAATCTGTAAGATAATCATCTTTCATCTTATTACGAAGATTTGTCCTGATAATATTCATCGCATAGAAGGCTCTTTCAACGGTGGTTGTTACAACTGGTAATACTAAAGTCAACTCAATCAGCCGATATACCAAATGAAAAGAATTGTGAACTTTAAGCTCAACCATCTTTTTGCAAACTTCACCAATAGTCTGTACGGCAGAAAATAATTCATTTGTTCTCATTTCATATATCCACACACCTGGAGTTGCTCTTTCAACTCCATTCGATCAACAGATGAAAAATCGCATGAATATAATTCCGTGAGGTTCAGTAGCTTTGACTCACAGAAATTGGAGAACTTATCTCTAGGATCAAGACATGCTAAACAAGTGAGTAATTATGTGTTTTACATGGTCTCTAAATGTTTCGAAGACTTTTTTTCCAATTACGAAACCTGGTCCTCACAAATACATCATCTCCAAATATCTTCCCTTCTACACCCATGGAAAAGGTAACACGAAAAGCAAAATGTAGCATCTTAAGAAATACTATATTCCAACTAGAGGTCCAACATAAGATCTCATCACGTCATCTCTTACTCGAGGCTCATATTCAATGATTGGCTTTCGTAATGCGGGATCGCTAATGATATCCCACTCACACGTACTATCTGTGCGGGCTCTTTTGTCTCCCCTGGTGTCATTAGACTCATCTCGGACAATGCTTACATTCGGAGCAACAACATTTGCATCGCTTGAGATAGACTGATTACAACGTTCGAAGAACTACCCCCTCAGGCTAATGACCTTTTAGTCCGAATTACAAAGTTATCCAAACTCATATTTCTAATAAAAAAGACAAATACAATCAAGTCTAAAAATTAAACTAAAAACCTTACAAATTAGAACCCTAATCCTTAAGTAGAGCGCATTCACAATCTCCAAAGTATCAAATTTCAAGTAAACAAACAATCCTCAAATCAGCGAATAACAATTTAGCATATGACCGTAACATTTTAGTATCTTGATTATCTAATACTAGTAACTTTTTGTACGGGTTGGGCACTAATTTTAACCGAAGTAGTAGTAGTGAAATTTTTGACCGGAAGCAAGGGCACCTATTTTACTCTAAGTACTAGTAGTGAAATTCCTGGCCGGAAGCCGGGGCACTTGCCCCGGTAGGCCCCGGCCTAGGTCCTCCACTGATTACAAGGACTGGAATTGGATTAGTGTCTTGATGACAAGGATGAAACATTCACACTTGTCATTCTCAGGAATTTACAACAAAACCGTATTTGTACGACTGCTTCTGACCAATTTTATGGAGCCATATTATTCTTTTATTTGTGCAGCAATTCCTAATAGAAATTTCATATCAAAGACTTGTGATACGAAATAATAGAAATGTGAGTACTTTCAGAAGATATGAATTTTATCGATTTTAGATTTGAAAGATATAAATATTTTCAATCAATCCATAATATGAAAGATTAAGTGTTGATA